AGCAAAAGAAACTATCATCAGAGTGAACAGACAACCTACAGAATGGGAGAAAATTTTTGCAATCTCTCCATCTGACAAAGGGCTAATCTCCAGAATTTACAAGGAACTTAAACACATTTACCAGAGAAAGAAAACTCCGTTAAAAAGTGGGCAAAGGACATGAACAGATACTTCTAAAAAAAAAAGACATACGTGTGCCCAACAAACATTTGAAAAAAACCTCAACATTACTAATCATTAGAGAAATGCAAATCAAAACTACAATGAGATACCATCTCACACTAATCAGAATGGCTATTGTTAAAAAGTCAAAAAATAGATGCTGGTGAGGTTGTGGAGAAAAGGGAACATTTATATACTGCTACACTGCTGTTGGGAGTGTAAATCAGTTTAACATTGTGGAAGATAGTGTGGTGATTCCTCAAAGACCTAGAGGCAGAAATACCATTTGATCCAGCAATCCCATTGCTGGGTACATACTCAAAAAATATAAATCATTCTATTATAAAGATACATGCACACATGTATATTCATTGCAGTACTATTCACAATAGCAAAGACATGAAATCAACACAAATGCCCATCAATAATAGAGTGGATAAAGAAAATGTGGTATGCATACATCATGGAATACTATGAAGCCATAAAAAGAATGAGATCATGTCCTTTGCAGGGACACAGATGGATCTGGAAGCCGTTACCCTCAGCAAACTAATGCAGGAACAAAAAAACAAACACCATATGTTCTCACTTATAAATGGGAGCTGAATGATGAGAACACATAGACACATGGGATGGAAGGGTGGCAGGAACAACACACACTGGGGCCTGTTGCATGGGTGGAGGCAGGGAGAGCATCAGGAAGAATAGCTAATGGGTGCTGGGCTTAATACCTAGGTGATGGGATGATCTGTGCAGCAAAGCAGCATGGCACACCTTTACCTATGTAACAAACCTGCACATCCTGCACATGTACCCTTGAACTTAAAATAAAAGCTGATGAAAAAAAAAACTTGATAATGGTACCTCCTGGCAATATGACTTCTATCTTCATCACTCCAGAAAATGACTGTTGACAGATATAATATAGTTTACAGATCTTTTAAAATGATGGCCACTCACTTTTAAAAATGATTACTCAGTTTTTCTAGAGAAAAATCAAAGAAACAAACAAAAACACACCTTTCTTCCTCTTTAGCTTCCATGACAACTCTAATTTTTTTTTTCTTTTTTGGCCACTCTTTTTCAGTCCTTTTCTTTTGCCTATTCTTTAGCTGTTCATGTTGCTTGAGGTCTTTCCTTGTCCCTCTTCTCTTATTCTACACATGCTGATAGGGGAAATTTTATCACTCCCCTGGCTCCAACCACACTTCTCAAAATAACTGCCAATTTTTGTTTTATTGACATCACAACTTCCTAGTTTTCCCTCTCTCTTATGAGACCCAGAAAAACAATAATTAGCTCTAGCAAATATACATGTAGTAGGCAGAATAATGGTTCTCTACAAAGTCATTTCCTAATTCCCAGAACCTGTGAATATGTCACCTTAAATGGCAAAAGGGACTTTTCAGACAGAATTGAATTAAGAAAATTGAGCTAGAGAGATTATTCTGGATTATCTGGGTGGGTCAAATGTGTATCCATAAAACACATGTAATCATAAAACTGGGTAACTTTTTCTACTTGTGAACAGAGGGAGCTAGGACTACTGAAGAAAAGTCAGAGAGATGCACATTGCTGACTTTGAAAATGGAGGAATGGGCTGTGAGCCAAGGAATGCCAATGGCCTCTGGAAGCTTAAAAGGCAAAGAAACAGATTTTCCCCAAGAGCCTCTAGAAAGGAACACAGCTTTGCTGACACCTTGATCTTAGCCCACGGAGACCTGTCAGTTGGCCTTCTAACCTACTGAACTATAAGATAATAAAGCTGTGTTGTTTTAAGCCACCAAGTTTTTTGTAACTTTTTAATAACAACAGTAGAAAACTAATGCAATACAATATAGTGACATGCTTAAGAAAACAGTTCTACTTTCATTTAAAATTATAAAGATTTTCAAAACTATAGTGAAGTTGAAGGAATAATACAATGAATACTTATATACTCACCACCTACATTCTACAATTAACTTTTTGCTATATTTGTCATGAATCTACTCATCTTATGCATTTCAAAGTAAGCTACAGATACCAGTACGCTTCATAATGATTTATTTTCCAAATCGTTGCTTTCTTGGCAATGTAGCCACAAACTAAATACTTATACAGGCATACCTTTTTGTATTGTGCTTCATTTTATTGCACTTTACACATACTGCATTTTTTTTTCAAATTGAAGATTTCTGGTAACCCTGCATTGAGCAAGTCTATCAGTGTCATTTTTCCAATAGTATGTGTTCACTTCATGTCTCTGCATCACATTTTGGTAATTCTCAGAATATTTCCAACCTTTTCATTATTATATCTGTTATGGTGATCTGTGATTAATGATCTTGGATGTTACTATTGTAATTGTTTGGAAGGACCACAAATGATGCCCATATAAGACAGCAAACTTAATCGATAAATGCTCTTTGTGTCTTATCTTCTTCACCAAATAGCCATTCCCCCATCTCTCTCCTTCTTCTTGGGTTTCCCTAATCCCTGAGACACAATAATATTGAATTTAGGCCAACTAATAACCTTACAACGGCCTCTAAGTGTTCAGGTAAAAAGAAGTGTCGCACATCCTTCTCTTCTCTTAAAATTAAAAGTTAGAGATGATTAAGCTTAATGAGGAAGGCATGCCAAAAGCCAAAACAGGCTGAAAGCTAGACCTCTTCTGTCAAACAGTCAAGTTGTGGATGCAAAGGAAAAAAATTCTTGAAGAAAATTAAAAGTGCTACTCCTGTGAACACACTAATGGTAAGAAAGCAAAACAGCCTTATTGCTGATATGGAGAAAATTTTAGTGGTCTGAATAGAAGATCAAACCAGCCATAATATTTCCTTAAGACAAAGCCTAATCCAGAGCAAGGCTCTAACTCTTTTGAATTCTGTGAAGACTGAGAGACATAAGGAACACTGCAGAAGAAAAGTTTGAAGCTAGCATAAGTTGGCTCATGAGGTTTACAGAAAGAAGCTGTTTCAGTAACATAAAAGTGCAAAGGTAAGTAGCAAGTGCTGATGTGGAAGCTGCAGTAAGTTATCCAGAAGACCTAGGTTAACATAACTGATGAAAGTGGATACACTGAACAACAGATTTTCAAGGTAGATGAGATAGCCTTCTGTTGGAAGAAGAGGCCATCCAAGACTTTTGTAGTTGGAGAGCAGTCTATACCTGGCTTCAAAGCTTCAAATGACAGGCTGATTCCTTGTTAGAGGCTAATGCAGCCTGTGACTCTAAATTGAAGCCAATGCTCACTTACTGTTTTGAAAATCCTAGGACCCTTAAGAATTATGCTTAATCTACTCTGCCCGTGCTCTATAAATGGAACAACAAGGCCTGTATGACGGCATATCTGTTTTCAGCATGGTTTACTGAATATTTTAAGCCCACTGTTGGGACCTACTTTTCAGAAAAAAAGATTTCTTTCAAAATATTACTGCTCACTAACAACACATCCAGTCGCCCAAGTGTTCTGATGGAGATGTACAAGGAGATTAATGTTGTTTTCATGCCTGATAACAAAATATCCATTCTGTAGCCCATGGGTCAAGTAGTACTTTTGACTTTCAAGTCATTATTTAAGAAATACATTTCATAAGGCTATAGCTTCCATAGATAGTGATTCCTCTGATGGGTCTAGGCAAAGTAAATAGAAAACCTTCTGGAAAGCATTCACCATCCTAGATGCCATTAAGAACATTCATGATTCATAGAAGAAGGTCAAAATAGCCACATTAGTGGGACTTTGAAAGAAGTTGATTCCAACTCTCATGGATGACTATAAGGGGTTCAACACTTCAGTGGAAGTAACTGTAGATGTGGTGGAAATAGCAAGAGAACTAGAATTAAAAGTGGAGCCTGAAGATAATGACGGAATTGCTGCAATCTCATGACAAAACTTGAATGGAAGACAAGTTGCCTCTTATGGATAAGCAAAGAAAGTTGTTTCTTGAGACAGAATCTACTCCTAATGAAGTTGCTGTGAACATTATTGAAATGACAAAACAGGATTTAGTATAGTATGTAAACTTAGTTGATAAAGCATTGGCAGAGTCTGAGAGAACTGACTCCAATTTCGAAAGAATTTCCATTGTGGGTCAAGTGCTAGCAGAAAGCATCACACGCTACAAAGAAATCTTTTGGGAAAGGAAGAGTCAAGCCATGTGGCAAACTTCATGATTATCTAATTTTAAGAAATTGCCACAGTCATCCTAACCTTTAGCAACCACCACCCTGATCAGTCAGCAACCATCAAAATCTAGGTAATACCCTCCAACAGCAAAAAAATTATGACTTGTTGAAGGCTCAGATGATTGTTAGCATTTTTTAGTAACAAAGCATTTTTAATTAAGGCATGCACATTTTTTAGACATAACGTTATTGTACAGTTAACAGACTACAGGAGGCCAGGCATGGTGGCTCACTCCCGTAATCCTAGCACTTTGGGAGGCTGAGGTGGGCAAGTCATCTGAGGTCAGGAGTTCAAGACCAGCCTGGCCACCATTGTAAAACCCCATCTCTACTAAAAATACAAAAATTAGCCAGGCATGGCGGTGCACACCTGTAGTCCCAGCTAATCAGGAGGCTGAGGCAGCAGAATCACTTGAACCTGGGAGGCGGAGGTTGCAGTGAGCTGAGATTGTACTACTGCATTCCAGCCTGGGTGACAGGAAAAAAAAAAAAAAAAAAAACACAGACTACAGGATAGTGTAAACATAACTTTTATATGCCCTAGGGAAAAAAATTCATGTGACTCACTTTATTGGAATAGCCTCTTTATTACAATGGTCTGAAATTGAACCTGCAATATCTCCAAGGTGTCCCTGTATACATACATCAAGGCAGCATTAACTTACCACAGTAAGTACCACTTGTCCTGGATGAGATAACACCCATTGGGAAAACGTCCGGCAGTTCCAGTCTTCAATCCCTTGACTTAAAAATCTATAAATTAAACATTTTATTTATGTTATTTATACCTAATCATTGATCGTGGCCATTTAATGACCAAGCATAACAAGGTCACAGGGGAGTTTTCCTTTAAGATATTTGATTTCTTTGTTCTAATGTAGAAATCAGACCAAATAAAGGTAACAGAGCCTTAATTCAAGCATAATCCATATTCCTTAAATTCCTTTTTGAGTTTATCTGCACTTTTCTAATAAGGCCACTGAGTTTCTGAGATGGTAAAAATGTACACAAAGAGATGACACATATTAGCTCTGAATTGCTAATAGTATTTATGACAAAATCTATATTTGAAATAATTTCTACAAAATGGAATACTTGGCTGAAACTACCAGATGAGTTTTAACAGTAAAGCCCTGTATTTAGTTTTTAAAATTAATTATAATGGACAGAATAGGATTCATGAAAAATATCCAGACAATTTTATTTAAGACAACGGTATATGCACCAACAGTATATAGGTTTCAATGTTGTCATTTTTTTCCATGTGGAGTTTTAAGTTTCCTTATAGTCAAATCGGTCAATGATATATATATTTTTAAATCATTGACACTATATCTCTTAGAAATTCTCAACACTAAATTTCATTTTATTTTCTTCTAATTTGGCTTTCTTTTTTATGTATCACTCTAAAATTCATTTAGAATATATATGAATATTTGAAATGAGGTACTGAACCTTTTAATTTTTGTTATGCTTGCAAATGCTATTTTTGTTTTCTTATTTATCATTACTGATGAGGAGAAATATGTCTATAACAACTTTTTATACATTTCAAAGCAGTATCAGTGGGAAATGTCTCTTCCATCAATTACAAATGATTTTTTATTTTATTTAATACCTTTGGCACTTAATTTTATTTTTAAACACTTTTTGTTGGCAGTTCCATGAAAAATCCTTATGACTTTTATTCATAACTTTTTTTGTCACATTGTTATACATATCTCAAACAACATATAGTTACATTTCTCTTTTGACAAAATATTTTAATGAAGATCTTACTGCACACTTGCACTGATACAAGTATATGGAATATTTAAAACGTGCTGACCTAGAGGCACAGTACAGTGTCACAAGTAGTTTGTGACCTCGAGGAGAAATGGGAAGGAACTTCATGCACTGAAAGGCAAGTAACTCACAGACTAGGTCCTTCCACATGCCCTGCTTGTCATCTGCAACCACAGCATATAGGTTGTTGTAGTCAGAAACTAGTATTTGCTTTTAGAAGAGGGACTCACCAGTACAAATAAGAAAAGATAACTAAGAATGACCAGATATTTTAGAAAAACTAGTACCATCAAAAAGAACACAAGTCCCTAGCCCCAAACTAAAGTAAAGCAGTACTAACTTTAAAATAAAAGGAGAGGGAAGAAAACTTTAAAATAATTACTTCATCAATTCTAAGACAGAAATTTTTTTCTACATTTTAATCTTTATGAAATCAGAAAACATCTTACAGTTAATGTCTGACAATCACTCAGCCAGGTGAGAACTATGACTTAGGAGTATAAAAATCTTCTATTGATGTTTTCTGGTAAGATAAAGTACTGCCAGTGATCTGTTACATTTGATGAATGTACCTGTACATTCTCTTTAGAAAAAAAATATTTATTTATTATTTATTTATTTATTTGAGATGGAGTCTTGCTCTGTCACCCAGGCTGGAGTGCAGTGGCACAATCTCAGCTCACTGCAACCTCCGCCTCCTGGGTTTAAGGGATTCTCCTGCCTCAGCCTCCTAAGTAGCTGGGACTACAGGTGTCCATCACCGTGCCAGGCTAAATTTTGTATTTTTAGTAGAGACAGGGTTTCACCATGTTGGCCAGACTCATCTCAAACTTCTACCCTCAGGGGATCCACCCACCTCGGCCTCCCAAAGAAAGAGGTAAATTCTATCACTTGTGACAACATAGATAACCCTGGAGGACATTATGCATGCTAAGTGAAATAAGCCAGGCCAAGAAAGACGAATATTGTATGATCTCATTTACATGTAGAATCTAAAAAACATTCTCTATTCACAGAAGTAGAGAGTAGAATGGTGTTAATCAGAGGGTTAAAGTGGGGAGGGGTGAAGAAAGGGGAGAAGGTAGTCTAAGGATACAAAGTTTCAGTTAGACTAGGAATAAATTTTAGTGATCTACTGCACAGCAGGTCACTATAGTTAATAATAATGTATTGTATGTTTTGCAATAGCTAAAAGTAAACTTGAAATGTTTTCATCACAAAAAATAAGGATGTGAGATGATGAGTATATTAATTAGCTTGAATCAATCATTTTACATTGTATATATGTATCAAAACAACATGTATCAAAACAGCACAATGTATGCCATAATAGATACAATTGTTATTTCTCAATTACAAATTAAAAGTACATTAAATCTCTTTAAAACTCCGCAAACTACGAATAGAATGAAATATCTTTAGTTTGATGAGGTGTATATTCCAGAAACCTATGCATTATGGTCAAACACTAGAAGCTTTTCCAATAAATTAAGAAAAAAAAAGGAATATGTCAGTTGTACTTTTCAATGTTAAATAAAATTTGCATCTAAAACAACATGAAAAATGGCATTTTAAAAAGAATTGCAAAGGAAGAGATAGGACTATCATTATCAGGAAATGATGTAATTGTCTAACCAGAAAAATCCCAGGACAATTGAAAAACTGCTTGTCTTTTTTACTTAAATGCCTAGATTCATTTTTTCAGGGTTTCTTGCCTACAGAAGTCTCTCTTTACATACAAGATAACTCTGGTTGTTATCACATCACCCCAGGGATAAGTTTGAAACTGCATTTGCAAAAATTGTAACTTAGGAAATTATGACAGTGAAAGAGATCAGACGCAACTAACTTCATCTTGCTTCTAACCCTTAAACTGTCCTTGTTCATTCCTGGGTGTAGGCCGAATCAATCTTGGGAAAGAATTTAGTTGACAATTTGACTCAAACAAAACCGGCAATAGCCCTTTCCTGAAGACTCCTGTCTTGCCTAGGGACCAGTCTGCCTTCGTAGGACTAACAAATTATCTACAAGATTAGAAATTATGGTTTAGGGGCCATGCAGCCTCGTGCTGCAAGAGTCTGAACCTCCCAAAATTGTTCCCGAGAATAATATCACTATTGTAAAACCTAAGATCAGTGCTTGAGATATTTTGCAGACCTTGCACTTGATGGATCAGCTGACACTACCCAGTCCAGTAATCTGGCTCAACCAGTTCTGGGCTCCCATCCAGGAACAGAAGACAGCAAGAAAAGCTCACTTTGACCCCCCAGGACTCCATCTTCAACCTGACCAATCAGCACTCCCCACTTCCGGAGCCCCTACCTGCCAAATTATCCTTAAAAACTCTGATCCCCGAATTCTCTGGAAGACTGATTTGATTAATAATAAGACTCCGGTCTCCTACACAGCTGGCTCTGTGTGAATTACTCTTTCTCCATTGCAATTCCCCTGTCTTGATAAATTGGCTCCATCCAGGCAGCAAGCAAGGTGAACCCACTGGGTGGTTACAAGAGTTGAGGAAAAGGAGAGCCAGAATGGTTATTTATGTAAGTAAATAATAATCTTCTCTGCTCTAGAAACCTTGTATTGGCCTTCAGAATAATATTAACAACTATAGATATGAAAACCTAAAAGTCAGTAGCCTTTCTACAACCAACAATGAATAATTAGAAATACAATATAACAGTTCTAGTCAAGTTAGTTTTAAAAGTTCACACTCTGAGGTTTTTTCCTTCATTCTAAACAGATGCAATGATAGACTTAAATATGAAAAGGAGAATGTTAGAAAGACTAAACCAAATAAACAATCCTAGGAAGTAAAAGTAGAACCAAAACGCAAAGTGGAGAGGTGTGCTGAAATGGGAGCCCTACTGAGCAGAGTTCAGATCCTGAACAGTTTCCTGATACAGTTGAATCACAATGTACACAACAGCCATCTGAAGGATGTCCATGTAAACACTCTCAAACTGACAGTTACACTGTAAAAGTGATTATTTTCCGTTTAGTCATCATGTGCCATCATCATTATATAGATATATATAATATATAATTTTAGGATTTGAAAATTGTACTTACTTTTTTAGCACATCGAACATGCTTTTTTCTACATTTACCAGCCACTGTTCTACAGCGCTTCTTACACGAATTTTCCTAAAATTAGTTTCAAAAGTAATACCATGAAGAATTATTTTTTAATTCATGTTTCAGTCCTTTGACAAGCCTGTAGACTAAATTTTCTATATGCTTTAATAATATTCATGGGCCAAAGGACTACTACTGCCTTTTGGTTTTTCTAGATCTTAATTTAGAAAACTATGCAGAAAACATATGAACGTGCTTTAGGAAATTCTGATATCAAAATCATGAATTTACACAATAAATAAGTTTCATGTAAAATGGTATTTACAAGATAAACAAACTGTGTTATAAAACAGTTTTGGATTCCTCGTTGGAATTTTTTTTTTTTTTTTTTTTTTTTTTTTGAGAGAGAGAGTCTTGTTCTGTCGCCCAGGCTGGAGTGCAATGGTGCCATCTTGGGTCACTGTAACCTCCGCCTCCTGGGTTCAAATGAGTCTCCTGCCTCAGCCCCCCAAGTAGCTGGGATTACAGGCTCCTGCCACCATGCTCAGCTAATTTTTGTATTTTTAGTAGAGATGGGGTTTCACCATGTTAGTCAGGCTGGTCTCAAATTCCTGACCTCAGGTAATTCACCTGCCTCAGCCTCCCAAAGTGTTGGGATTACAGGCGTGAGCCACCGCACCCGGCCTTCCTCACTGGATCTTTTAAACAGCAGGGTCGGAATAGGGATTTTGGTAGATAAGAAGGGTTGGGCACAGCATTTTTTAAAAAAATCAACTTACATCAGGACTACTTGCCAAAGGTTAGAGAGCCCTTGCTCGGGCTGGCAAATTGAATTAGTGTAATGGAAGGACCTAGTTTGTCTTTATTGCCTGGGAGCAGACCATAATGAAACCAGAGATCAGCAGAAGCAGTAGTGGGAGTTGCATCAACAACTCCAAATAGCAAATTTTCTTCTTATCTATATTCACATAATAAAACCAAAAAGGGGGAAAGCACTAAAAAGAGAGTAGGAAACTTAAGGCAGAATTTAATGACAGAATCAAACGTAAGCACAAATTAGAATGCACCCGGGAGTTTGAAGACTACTTTCTCAACCTTTAATTAGAGCAAAGGTGAGATTATGTATTGTAGGGAATATGGAAAGGCAAAAGTATATTTACATAAGGATATAATCTTTGAAGAAATAGTTTGCTTAGCACACTTTTATAATATATCAAAAATTTCAAAGCAGAGATTTTAAATAATGAGGTTGTATAGAATCTAAACAGTTTGTAACATTTATCATACTTTGGCAGCACGAGACCTTCCCCTTCAGCAGATATTAGCATTTTTACAGCAGGAGGGCCAATGTCTTGTTTCCATATCAATAATTGTTTTACATTTCCAAAACATTTCACAAGATGAGGCTGTGAACCAGAAACAATTGTCAGTAATATTATTGAATTGTGATCTGAATATTGCTAATATAATATTGCTGAGCAGAGAAATATGTTATTACCTGTACAGACTCAGGATTTCTGCTATCAGCTAGAATATCAAGAAGTTCAGCATTGCTAAGAAAGTAAAATCTTGGGAAAATTAATCTTTTAACTTCAAGGTAATCCTGTCCAGAATCAAAAGAAATGCAATTCAGAATATATATTTAATCATGATATGAATTACATCCTCATTTTGACCTATACTTATAAACAAAAGTCACAATATTAGTTATAGTATATATGGTAGTATCAGTCAAAATAACATTCCATGCTTAACGAAAGTGATACTTAAATTGCTAAAAAAAAAAAAAAAAAGTTTAATAAAGCTAAACTAAAACAAATGAAGCTACAACCCAAATAAACAAGAAAATCCCACCCTTAGACACACATATACCATTTTATTCTTGATCAATAATAAAGTATTGTATTTTGGTTTTATCAACATTGCTTTCCCATACTTCTGACTTTCTGCTCTTATTTCCCTATAGGTGGAGTTATCACTTTATAGACTAAGTTACCATATCACAGATTACATTCACTGTACAGAGAATTTCTACATTTCTCACTCCTTTCTACAACTCAGAGGCATTAACACCAGTCTCAATCCTTCCCTTCTTTTCAGAGGAAGAGATACCCATTAACTTATGCCAGACTAAGATACTCTTGATTTATTTATTACTCTCTTGTAACTTCAATCTCTCCCTTGCAATAGGCCTCCCCCTAAATTTCTCTCATTATAACAATATAAGAAACCCTCCATCTCCTTTTGTTCTCCTATAGTTACTGTCTACTTGCTTGTCTTCTCTCCACGAAGTTCTTGAAAAGAACTTGTGAAGTCAGATTGTTTGTATCTCTCAGTCATCTTGTGTTCTGCCACCTGGCCCTGGCTATTACCAAATTTACTGGGAGCTTTTCAGTCCTTGTGTTACGTGGTATTTCCATAGCATTTGATTCTGTTGACTCTGTCCTTCATTTTGACTTCTGAAATTTCATTCTCTTTCATCCCTCAGCTACATCTTATTATTTTCCATCAAAAGTCCCTCTTTGACCCATACATCTTAATGCTGACATCTGTTGAGTTCCAACCCCATCACTTTTCCTACTCATTATGCTCTTCTTGAGCTATTTGATACAGACATACTTGCTCTTCAGCTCAGATTACTTCTCTCTGCCCTGGATCTACATACCCAATTGCTAATTGAAGATGTTCACTTGAATGTCCCATAAGTATTAGATTTTCAATATGAACCAAACATATCTAGGCATAACCCGGGACCTCTTTCTTTTATTCTCTACTTCCTATCTGATGCTCCAAGCTCTACCTTCTTTCATCTTCCTCATGGCCTTACTTTAGCCTCCAGTATTTCTAGTCTTTGATTTTTAAACATCTATTCTCATTGTCCCCAATCCACTCTATGCTTCTTTCCAGAGATATATTTCTGACTTAATTATTTCACTCTCTTATTTAAAATTCTTCAGTGGCTATCATAAAAGTAAAAACTCATCGTGATATTCAAGGCCCTTCACCCTCTGTCCTCCGCTTGACTGGAGAATCTCATCTTTCACCACTTTCCCATTTGCAACCTGTTTTATCTCTACCATTCTGCTTACAAATCCAGAATGTGCCATACCCGCTCATGGCTCCATGTCTTTGTACTTTTTACCTTTGCCTAAAATACTCTTCCCAGCTACCCATCCTCCTCTAATCTAACTCTTTTACCTATCTAACACCTACATTTCTTTCAAGACCAAGGCCAGGTATCATTGCTCCCAGGCTGGGTTAATTTGTACTCTTTGATATGGCCATACCATCCAACCCATCATAGCATACATCACATTGTAATATCTCCTTACTTTTTTTGTCTCCTAAAATAGATTTTGAGTTCTGTAATAGTAGGGAATACTTTTTTCATCTTTGTAGTACTAGCACATAGCAGCAGTGCCTGATACAAAATGGTGCTCAATACATGAATAAATGGAAAGCTATTGGTTTGTAATGATCCTCAGTAATAGTCTAAAGATGTGCTAGAAATATCTGGAAGGCTTATCTCAATGATGATTTGGTAAACCAGCTTTTATTAACCAGAATTAATCTGGCTGCAGCCCCTTATGCTTGTTCCAGAGTGCAGATTTCAATAAAAGAGGGCCTATATGGGCAGAAAATTTTGTATAGGCTGTGATTGCCTATAGTTGTTTAAGAGGGCTCATCACAACCACTGTTACTTGTGTTCAGTAAGCAAAACCAATTAATGCCTGAATAAAAATCTTGGCTCGTGAAGTAAAGTGAATATGCATACCACAAATCTCAAAAATTAAAAGCTAGTATTTTAGGATACATGTCTAGCTTATACTTTAATGTTCTGACAATGTATAAATATATGGAATCAGTAATTTAATTTATAGACTCATAAAAACATTCTGTTTCAACTTTTGCAGAATTTATCAACTTCATAGTGCTAATAAAAATAGTTAACCTACACAAGACTCAGTGCTGTGCTGGCTTCAGGTCTGACCCACCACAGTTCCAGCGATGGTGGCCACAGGGGGCTTGTGTCACCCCTCCGCCAGCGCTAGGCAGCTTAGCACACAGAGAGAGACTCCGTTGTTAGGGAAAAAGCAATTATTTTTGCCAGCACTTGTGCTTTAAATGCATCATCTCAGTGAGCACAAAACCCTTCAAGGTAGCACTATCATTATTCTCAACTTAAAGATAAGGAAGGCAAGACGGCTGAATAGACTCCTCCACTGATTGTGCTCCCCACAGATACACCACATTTAACAACTATCTCTATGAAAAAAGCATCTTCATAAAAAGGTGAGCATTCATAGTTCCTGGTTTTAACTTTATATTGCTGAAAGAGACACTTAAGAGAGTAGGAAAAACAGTCTTGAATTGCCGAAGCCACCCTTCCCCCACTCCCTGTGGTGGACACGTAGCAGAGAGAGAGAATGTGTGTGCTTGGGGGAGAGAGAGCACAGTGACTGTTGAATTTTGCATTGAAACTCAGTGCTGCCAACACTGCACATAACTCAGCTGAAGCCCACAGAGGGAACATTCAGACCAGCCCTAGCCAGAGGGTAATCACCCATTCTAGCAGTCAGAACTTGAGTTTTGGTAAGCCTTGCTTCTGTGGGCTAAAGTGCTTTGGGGTTCTAAACAAACTTGAAAGGCAGCAGAGGCCATAAAGACTGCAAGTCCTAGGCAAGTCCTAGTGCCATGTTGGGCTCAGAGCCAGTGGACTAGGAGGACACATAATCTATTGAGACTCTAGCTGAAGCAGCTAAAGGAGAGCTTGCATCACCTCTCCCCCAACCCCAGGCAGCACAGCTCCCAGCTCCAAAAGAGACTCCTTACCTCCACTTTAGGACAGGAGAGGGAAGACTAAAGAGGACTTTTCTTACAACTTGGATACTGGCTCAGCCATAGTAGGATAGGGCACCTGGCAGAGTCATGAGTCCCCCATTCTAGGCCCTAGATCCTGGATGACATTTCTAGACACACTCTGGGTCAGAAGGGAACCTGCTGCCTTGAACAGAAGGATCCAGTCCTAGCAGGATTCATCACCTGCTAACTAAACAGCTCTTGGGCTCTGAATAATCAGCAACAGTAGCCAGGTGGTACATGCCATGGGCCTTGGGTGAGACTCTGGGAGTCTTGGCTTCACATGTGACCCAACATGTTCCCAGCTGTTTTGGCTAGGAGGGAAGACTTCTGCTTGAGAAAAGCACAGGAAAGAGTAAAGTGGACTTTGCCTTACAGCTTGTACCAGCTCGGCTACAAGCAGGCGCTTGGGGTCTCTGATTTTAGGCCTTGCCTCTTGGATGGCATTTCTGGACCTGCCCTGGGCTAGAATGGAGTCCACTACCCTGAAGGGTGAGTCGAAAGCCTGGCAGCATTTACTATAAGCTACCTAAAGAGTCCCTGGGGTTAACTGAACATCAGCTGTACCGTTGCAGTACTCCCTATGGACCTGTGGTGGTGACGGCCATGGAGAAAGACTCCTCTGCCTGTGGAAAGGGAAAGGAACAGTGGGAAGGACTGTGTCTTGTGGTTTGAGTGCCAGCTCAGGTGTAGTAGAATAGAGAAGTATATTTCTAAGGTTTCTGACTATAGGTACTGGTTCCAGATGGCATCTCTGGACCGCCCAGGGCCCAGGGGGAACTCATTACTCTTAAGGGAACAACACAAGCTTGGCTGGCTTCACCACCTGCTGATTATAGAGCTCTAGGGCCTTGAGCAAACATAGGCAGTAGCCAAGCAGTGATTACAGTGGGCCTTGCATAAGACTAAGTGCAGTGCTGGCTTCAGGTCTGACCCACCACAGCTCCAGTGATGGTGGCCATGTGCATGCCTGTGTCACCCCTCCACCAGTTCCAGGCAGCTCAGCACACAGAGAGTGACTCCATTGTTTGGGAAAAAGTAAGGGAAGAGAATAAGAATCTCTGCTTGGTAATCCGGAGAATTCTTCTGAATCTTATCCAAGACCACCAAGGTGGCGCCTCTATATGTCTGCAAGAATCACAGCATTACTGAGCTTTGGGTACCCCCTAATGAAAATACAGCTGCAGTGAGCAATAACATAGAAAGTAACAACCAAGTTTCTTAAAATACCTGGAAGGCCTGCCCAAGAATGGTAAGTACAAACAAGCCCAGACTGTAAAACTACAATAAATACATAACTCTTCAATGCCAACACTGACAAAGCCGCAAGACCACCCAGGAAAACAAAATCTTACCAAATAAACTAAATAAGGCTCCAGGGACCAACCCCAAAGTGACAGAGATACGTGACTTTTCAGGTAAAGAATTCAAAATACCTATGTTAAGGAAACTCAAAGAAATTAAAGATAACAAAGAAAAGGAATTCAGAATCCTTCCAGATAAATTTAACAAAGAAGTTGATATAACTGAAAAGAATAAAGCAGAAATTCTGGATTTGAAAAATGCAACTGACATACTGAAGACTGCATCAGAGTCTCTTAGCAGCAGAATTGATCAAGCAGAAGAGAATTAGTGAGCTTGAAGACAAGCTATTTGAAAAATACAGATGAGGCATCAGAAAAAAAGAATAAAAAAGAATAAAGCATGCCTACAAGATCCAGAAAATAGCAGCTAGAAAAATAA